CCACAAGCACACAGAAGTAATGCACCAAAGTGCTGCGTTTACTCCGACTAGAATTCAATTCTCCAAGGTATATAACAAAACACAATAAACCGCAACACACCACAGCACACCACAACACCATCAATGTTTCCAACTCTATACAACCGTGTTCAGTAGGGATACAAGGAGTCCGCCACACACTGCCTCAAGTCACAGTTCTTTGCCCCTTCATCCGTAGAGATGGAGCCAAAACCACGGGTACCATTCATTGCACATCCTGGTGGTTATCATTTGTTTTGTGCTTTTTGGGGGCGTCCTGGACTCCTTCTTTGTGTGGTTGGTGCAATGCCATTACCAGAAGAGCGTTGCCCCTGTTGCTTTGTTGATCCGTTTGCACAGCGCTTTTGTCCTCGCACCCCACTCGCCCTGTCAAGAGGTTTCACAGATGCGTATCCACGGTGACCTTGGTCCGGTTCAACTCCAACCTGAGCACACGGCTTAGAAAAAATCGGGTAAGCTTGATATGTAGTGCCAGTCTGGTTGCAGTCCGGCAGTATTCCTACTCTCTGGAACGACCTGCGTAGGATATGGGCCTTGCATTCTGGTTTGAGGTGCAGTATCGTCCCCAGCTCTTGTGTAGCTTGGGATGTGTTGTTTCTGGTCATAGGTTTGTGGCCACAAAGGGGTATCTGTGGCTTGGATTTCGATTCCACTGAACCATTTTTGAATGACCCAGTTGGCGCCCTTGGCATTGTCGGCAATCTTCACGTCACGAGCAGGAGACGGCGTTCGCCCCACAAGACCACCCGGCTCCTGTGGTTCTGGGACATATACATAGTCCTGTATCGGGTTTTGGCCCGGCGCATCGTACGGAGCAAGGCTACCAAGACAGTCCTGCTAGGCCGGGACCATTACGCCAAGTAGATGCGCATCGGCACCTTGCGCGTCGTTCAAAGGGTCCGTATAACTTCCAACGAGGAATTGACCCTCCTAAGATGGCACCATTCCATGGGATTGATGTGACCCCGGCATATTCTGCATTTGCATCGGACGCTGAGCCTGGGCCATACCGGGGCTAGCTTGATGGCTCGGTGGTCGCTGGCCTTGTGCCATGCCTTGTTGGCCAGGGTGCTGGCCTTGCGGGCGGGCCGGCGTCTGGAATGCCGGCTCCTTCTTTGGGTCAACGTTGGGAAAGAGGGCTTGCAGCTTGTTGTAAAGCTCGGTGAGGTAGCTAGACCTTTCTTGGCGGTCCGTAGTCGGGTCCGGATTGTTTTCCGCCACGTCCCCAGGCGGAGTTTGTAGACGGACTTTCAGCGTCATGTTCAACGGCGGGGAGGAAAGGTAAGCCGGCGACGGCGGTACTTGGACATTGCCTTTCCTATCTGCCAAAGCAGCCAAATATGCCAGGTTCGCTTGAAGTCGTCGCATACAACTAAACACGACGTCAGCTTTGGAAACCATTGAAGAATCCTGTCGCTTTGAAACTTACTGGCTGTAGTCCTGTTGGACTGCGGCTTCTTCTTGCGAGGGCTTCCTCGCTGGGTCACCCTCTCCTGTTGGCGCAGCTTCCTTCTTCAACTCGGTCAAAGTGTGTTGTAGTTGCATTGACTCGTACAGCAGTTCTTGGTTGATCTCAAGCAGCAGTGAAAATCGTTCTTGTTCCCGTGATTCGCTGCCAGGGCTCAGGGGCGTAGACACCGTGGAGGTGCCATTGACCGTCGCAATCTGGTTGTGTGGGGGAAAAGTCGGGGTTTGGGGGGTGGTAACAGAAGCCGCGAGTTGCTGCTGCTGCGGTGCTGTCGTTGCCGGCGGCTGGCCGTGCGACGGGGCCTGTGGAGTTGGGAATTGAGATTGCTGCTGCTGTTTTTGCTGTTGGTGTTGGGCGTGTTGCTGCTGCTGCTGTTGGTGTTGTTGTTGTTGTTGCTGCTGTTGCGCCTGTTGCTGTTGCTGCTGACCAGGTTGTTGTTGCTGCTGAGGCGGCTGATGAGATGGTTGCTGGGGTTGTTGAGGTTGGCCTTGCTGTGGATGTTGCTGCTGGGGCTGGCCCTGCTGCTGCTGTTGGGGATGTTGCGGGTGCTGTTGCTGGGCGTGCTGTTGATGTTGTTGCTGCTGTTGATGGTGTTGCTGCTGCTGTTGCTGATGCTGCTGATGCTGCATAGCACTGTTTGGTGACCCGTGACCCCCTTGCGCCGCGCTCATCGGTCTTTGCGGTGTCGATCCCAACGGCATCCCACCAGCGTTTGCCTGCCCTTGTTGTTGCTGTTGCTGTTGCTGTTGCGCTTGCTGTTGCGCCTGCATACGCTGCTGCTGTTGCTGCATCATAATCTGCTGCTGCTGCTGAGGCGTCATGGCCGCGTTCATCGGGAAGCCCTGCATTCCTCCAAAGTTGGGATGTTGGCCGCCCGGCGCGGGCATGTTACCGCCGTAGGGATTGCCCTGATACGGGTTTTGAAAGGCCACTGGCAAAGACATTGAGGTTAGCGAACGCGTGTTTCCGTGTTCAGGTGATCAAGAGGCACTGCGACTGCGCGTTGACGACGTGTTCTTCCGATGCTGCGGGTGCTGGTGGTGATGGTGATGGTGATGTCGATGGGGTCCAGCCTGAACAGCCTTGCCGATGGCATCTCGCCACGACGGCCGACACGGACCCCGTGAGGAGGCACATGCGGCTTCAGGCAGCGTCATCAGGCGCAACGCATATACGAAAGTCTGATGGGCGGGTTGGGCGTACAAAGGGAGAGACAGGACAAGGAAGAGGAGAGCTTACTCTGACCATTGGCGGCCATGTGCGGCATGCCGGCGTTCTGCATCATGCCTGCAGGACCAGCGCCAGACATCATCGCAGGATTGGGACCTCCGACAAAGCCTGGCTGGCCACCAGACATGCCAGCGAATTGATTGGGGTTGTACATCATCTGCTGGCCTGGCTGAGTAGGGCCAGAGCCTTGCTGCATATGAGGGTTCTGATTTGGAGGTGGGGCGGCGTTGTTGAAGGTCGGAGGGACATTGGAGACCTGAAAGCCGTAGCCGGGAGCGTACATGGCTGGGACGGGATGATGGGATGGGCGCGGAGCTATTATTATTATTATGGTTTGGGGGGGGGGGAGGGGAGGGGGCTTGACGCGACGTGCCTGCCCAGGGGAACAGGTCGGGCTAGGGTGCTGCGACAAGCGTCGAGGTAGCAATAGACTTAGACTCCAGGCTCTGTCTGGTCTGGCAAGTCAAACACGAGCTGGTTGCCTGGCCGGCTGACTGGCTGATGGATTGACTGGCTCGTCGGGGGCTGGGCTAAGCTGGGCGGAAGAAGTGAGGGAGGACGCGGCACGGTTGGCGGCGGCCGCAGCGGGCGACGTTTCGAGGTGTCGGCCGCAACAAGGAAGAGAGCGGCGCGGCGGGAGGAGTGCGTGGAGCGAGGAGAGGAGGTCCTGGCCTGTCCGGGCCGCAGGTCGACCTGGCTGGTCGGTTGACTGGCTGGTTTGCTGCTGCTCGACGTGCGTGATGAGCGGTGGAGAGCAGGGGTGCCACCGGTGCATCAACGGTTAAGCTTGGGCGATCTCTCAGATAGACAAAGTGACAGGCCGACAACCAGCAGCTTGGCCCAGTAAGAGAGCGATTCGACAAGCCGGCAACAAGTATTGCGTATTAAGGTACAACCATGCATACGACACGGATGCAGCTGTCCCTTCAATGCTCTCGGGGGTGCCTGGCTGGATGGTATGGCGCGTGGGCGTGCCTGGGATAGGGCTGGCGCTGTTTGTCTCGGCTTCTCTGCCGTAGGTACTCCTCTGTCTGTAGATACTGTTGCGACTTCAAGGTGCGCAAAGAACGACAGAAAGGTGCACGGGGGTGTGAGATGGCAAACTGGGGAAGAAGAGGGCTGAGAGATGGGTACGGTGAGTAGGGATGGGGTGCCAGGAGACGGTAGTGACGTGGATGGATGGACGGGGCGCCAGATGGATTAGTTGCTGGTGAGAGATGAGACGCAACGAGAAATATAGATTGCCGATAATGAGTTGCGCTCTGTGTAATAGAACCGCGTCCGATGGATGGCCCGGCACGCGAACCCAGTGAGACACGACTAGAACAGGCAGTCGAGAACGGACAGTTTCTGGGTTGGGCGGGTTGATGCTTGATTCAGTGCCAATGCCGAGCTTGATCAGGCCGGGCAGTCAAGGTACCAAGGGGGGAAGTACCCTCGACGGGATGCGAGAAGGAGTGACGAGGGAATCAAAGGCAGATCCGTCGTCTTGGTGCAGGTGACGGTGCGCGTGGAGCAGCAAGCGGAGAATAGGTAAGGTAAGGTAGAATGGCGGACAGCCGTGGAGGAGGTGCGGTGAGCAATGGCTTCGGTGGCGGCGTCGGTGAGGTGCGGTGTGGTCGCGGGCCGGACGTCCCTGATTGCCCTGCTGCAGAAACGACCTGATAAGCGTCCACGTATGGGATAGGTATGTGAGACAAGGCAGCGCGTGTGTGATGGGTGTGTGGTTGATTGATTGACTGCGCGCGCAAGAGGCAGACCGGTAGCAGAGAAGAGGTGTGTGTGGTATGTGTGTGTGTGTCCATCAGGCATTCGCGGCAGGAAAAGAACGCAGAAACGAAATTTTTTTTGGCTTTGGTTTTCAAACCCCCTGTGAGTCGTCTGGGAAGGGGCCACAGGTCTGAGAGTGTGGATACTTGGCCGGCTGGGGCAGGATTCGAAGTGGGGCTGCGTCCGAGGCTAAACAAGGGGAGGCACCAGCAGTGGAGGCTAACCTGGACAGCCGAGACGTCGCTGACTGGTCTGAAGACGTCCGCACCCAACCAGGGGGGTGCCTGCAGCCATCCAGGGTCAGGTACACCTGTCACCACGCAGAGAGCGGCATCTTTTCTTGGAGAGCACTTCATTAAACACTCTTCTCACAGCCGAATGATCATTTGTACGTATACATTAAGCATTGATCCAGGGTTCTTCTTGTCGAGCACCAAGACCTTCATCAGCAGAAGTCGACTGGGCCTGCCCGTGTGTCGCCAGCTACTAACTCCTAGGCCGCATATGTCGTACCGTATGTTGAGTTCCCGAAGACAACATCAACGAAATGCTGGGCTATAATCTCGTCTGCGACAAACCACCCACGTCAGCCGAGAGACGAGAACCAAGACCAATATGAACAAATGCTTACCTGCGCGCTCCGAAGGGTGCAGCTCGTCGTACCACAAGAACCCCGCCATTGGTTCCGAAGAGTCGACGCACTCGCGCGTAACCGGATCGCAGACCCTGTATGTGCCCGTCACGTTCGCCGGCGGAGGCAGGTACTTGGATGGTTCCGCGTGGATGTCTCGCAGCAGACTGTGGACGTCGAAGATGGAAAAGCTCGCTCCGGGCCACCTCTTCTTGACGAGCAGGTGAAATGGCGCCCCGTAGTCAAACATGGTGTTGACATTCGTGGTGGACTCGAGCATTTTGTACTGGTATTCCGTCGTGTTGTAAAGCGTCTTGTTCGGCCAGAACTGGCTGTCTCCAAAGCCTCCACCTTCGACTGCTGCGTACAAAGGAGACTCCTCCAGAGGTGCCAGGTTCAGGAGGACGAAGTGACGGCCTCCTGTCTCGTAAATGTTGTCAAACACCTCCCAGATGCAGTCCACATACGTGGAAATGGTCGTTCCGGGAGCCTGCGAGTCTGTCAGGAAGGCACCATAACCCAGGTCGTTGGTTCCGATCCACAACGCGTAGACCGTGTTGTTCGCCTGTCTGTTGGGGTATAGAGATTCGAATGCGATGTCAGCCTTGTAAGCCGGTATCTCGTAGTCCATCACTGACGGGAACGGCTGGTTGATGGTAGCGAATTCTCGTGAGATGATCTCGTTAGAACAGGTAGCTCCAGCCACGGCATAGTTGTTGTAGTTCGCGTCTGTGGCCTTGGCGACGAAACGACCCCAAGCATATCCGCCGCTCGCTGTCGAGTTGGATTCCCCAAGTCGAAGTCCCGGGGGCGGAGCGCTGCCGTTGTTCCTAGCGAAGTAGCTTAGGCGCATCTCGTCAGTGTAGCTGTCGCCAAATGTTACCAAGTTCTCCAGCTTCTTCAGTCCGCACTGCGAGGCCGCGGCCGCCGCTGCCGCAGAGACGAGAGCTGCGATTGAGAGAAACTGCATGGTCTCAGTCGATTGGATGGTATCAAACACGAGGCGACTTGAGGGGCCGCTGTGATTACCACGAAATGGTGGGAAGCTCGGAGGATGAGGCAACGGCTACATGTCCACGTTCGCAGATGGGCACCGTCTTCATATACGATTCCCGACAATTCTGTTCGACTGCGTCATGGCAATCAACTGGGCCGTTAGTCCGGCAGAACGGAAATGGGGTGCAGACCGATGGAGAGACGGGCAGAGAAGCGCCGCCTATGAGGTGGGTTAGATCATGTCTGGGACCCTGCAATCCACGCCTGTCTCCGCGTACTAGGATCCAACGACGAACGATAGCTGCAGCTTTTTGTCAAAAAGATGATGGCTCCTGCAAGTTCCCCAGATCTGACCAGGGTCATAATGGGAATAAGTGAGGGGTAATTGGAGTCTTGGATGCGCTCGCAAGCAATCTGCCCGAGAGCTCCATGGACGTCACATCAAGAAGCACTAGCTTGTCATGGATGGGGAGGTCGGCAGAGGCTTCGATTCGCGCCGGTGAGAGTGGAGGGGAAAATATGACTGGGACGTCGGAATGGCGAGGACCAACAGACTGCTCAACCGACTTGGCGTGGTTGGTCTGCTGTTATCGAGAAGCTTGTCCAGACCGTTGTCCACAACCTGCAGTCGGTTGATGAGAAAGATGGCTAATCAGCCTAAATTCGCCATGATCCGCAGCCCTAGGCCAGCGGGGAGAGCCGGCCTTTAAGCAGGCCGTCAGCCGTCTCAAACTTGAAGCTGGATATCGCAAAATTTGTTGCGCTAGAACAATGGAGACCTTCCCAGAAGATATGTTCAACAGGTGGGAGGCGTAGACGTAAGTAATAGCAGGCGAGATAGAAATCGGAGGAAGAACGCATCGCAGGCAGTCGACATCGGCTCCAAACGTGACCCCGCAGCTTCTCTTTGGCCAAGGTCAAAGTAAGATCGAATTTGTGGTTGAGCTAAAAAGACATACGTAGTGCAAGGCTTTTTACACGCTTTACATTTCACCGGCTTCCGAAGATTACAAGCTGATGTTGTTCTCAATACAACTATAATCCAGTTGATTAAAGTCTCTCTTAGCAATCAAGTCCATCCCATCTCGGCTTCGGCTTGGGATAAGGTAAGGTCGGTCGCGTCCAGTATGGCGGAATCGGCTTCGGCTTCTTCAGTGTCTTTCCGCGGTGACAAACCGTTGACCCGCCCACCCCACTTCAGAACAAATTCTCGATTGGGCAATCGTCTCTCCCAATGAACGTTGCTCTAAAAGCCTGGTGCGGGGCGGCGACATCGGATGCAATCATCGTGATTGGTCAATCCACGACCGCGGGGCAGACAGCGTCGCCCAAGTGCCGTGCCGATGCTCGGGGAGAGGATCCAGTTCTTGAATTTGTGATCTGTTGACTCAGCTAGGGTCTTGATACAACTTCGAGGCTGGGAATCTCAATTTGGACTTTGGATATAAGACAGCCGAATACATCGTGATAGCAGTTGAGCAGACCAGCAATTTCAACTCGTATCTTCACAATGTCGCCCTTCAACTTGGAAAAATGCGCCCGCCCAAACATTTTGGCTCTCGAGCCTTATCGATGCGCCAGAGAGTAAGTCTTGCTCTCCAAACTCACCTACACTTGCATGAGATTTGACCAGAAAACTGACACCCCTGACAGCGACTACAAGGATGACGGAACGAACGTCCTTCTCGACGCCAATGAGAATGCCTATGGCCCGTCGCTAGAGTCAAACTTTGAAGCGGGAAATCTGGGCATCGACTTCCTGGGCCTGAACAGGTATCCTGACCCTCACCAGCCCGAACTGAAGCAGCTGCTCTGCAACCTACGCAACACCCACACCCACACAACCAAGAACCTCGGACCTGAGAATGTCTTCGTTGGCGTCGGCAGTGACGAGGCCATCGACGCTTTGCTGAGATGCTTCTGCGCCCCCGGCAAGGACCGTATCCTTACCTGCCCGCCTACCTACGGAATGTACTCCGTCTCGGCCCAGATCAACGACGTGAGCATCGTCAAGGTGCCCCTGAAGCCTGCTCCCGAGTTTGCCATGGACACGGACGCCATCCTCGACACTCTCAGCAAGGAGGACAACATCAAGCTGGTCTATCTCTGCACACCCGGCAACCCCACCGGCTCCGTGTTGTCCAAGGATGATATCAGGAGGGTGATGGAGCATCCGACGTGGAATGGCGTCGTCGTGCTTGACGAGGCATACATCGACTTCGCGCCCGAAGGCAGCTCCCTCGCCGAGTGGGTACTCGAGTGGCCCAACCTCGTTGTCATGCAGACCCTTTCCAAGGCCTTTGGCATGGCTGGCATCCGTCTCGGCGCCGCCTTCACGTCACCGCCGATTGCCCGCCTCCTGAACGCGATGAAGGCGCCGTACAACATCTCCAGCCCCACGAGCGCCCTCGCATGCTACGCCGTCTCCGAGAAGGGTCTGACGGTCATGCGCGACAACCGGACCAAAATCCTTACGCAGCGAGATCGCATCATCGCGGAGCTTCCCAAGATCCCAGGTGTCGGAAGGCTGAGGGGCGGTACAGAGAGTAACTTTTTGCTCTATGAGATGCTCAACGTCGAGGGTAAGCCGGACAACGTCACGGCGCTGGCGGTATACGAGCGCTTGGCCGAGAACAAGGGCGTCGTCGTCCGGTTCCGCGGCAAAGAGCATGGATGCTTGGGTTGTCTACGCATCACGGTCGGCACAGAGGATGAGGTCACGAGGTTCCTGTCTTCCATCGAGAAGACACTGGCCGAGGTTCGTGGTGCTGGACGTCAGGCGGACGAGGAGAGGAAAGAAGTGGCGGCGAACGGGGTAGTTGCTTAAGCGACTTTTGGACGAAAATGCATATATAGATAGATGATAGACAATCCAGTAAATCACGAAGCCTGCAGCCATGGAATATTGAACCACGACGAAGCATCTGCGAAGCGTATCTTTACAGCAGAAACGACGATGAAGTCAACGACCAGAGCGTAGGGGGGAAACTGTTCAGGCTCAACGCAGGTTGACAACAGCCAAGAGAGCATCCCATCAACGGCTCTTCATCTTCATCTCCATCTCGCTAGACAAGCTAAGAAAGACTATGAAAAAGAGAGATCCAACCTGGAGGCAGTGTAATACCAGGTCAAATCCAAGGTTCCAAAAATTGCGCGGCCTTCACAAGCCATGATTCTAGTTTGTTTTGTTTTGTTTTGGGTTGTTTGGCTTAGTTTGTTTTGGCTTGGTTTGATTCGTTTTTGGTTGGTTTGGTTTTACTTGGGGGCTCCTCTTCATGAGTTTTTCCTCTCTTTTTTTTCTCTCTTTTTTTCCTCCCCTAACTTGTTTCTTCTCGTTCTTATTTGCTGCAACTCCTTCTGCTTAGTATTTTCTCGTGTTTCTTTATCTGCCCGGGTTTGAGGATGAGGGAGGAAGTCGGTTTCAAAATCTTGGGAGGATGGGTGAGCCTTTTGAAGAATTTCAGAACCTGCCGGGTCCGCATCCGGTGTGCCATCAAGTTCATGAGCATCAAGGGAACCAGCCAGTCAACTTTAGTGAACCAAGTCAGCCAGGTGCTCGGGATCCAGTAGGGCGGTAGCGGACCATACATGTCGTCGCGCGAACGAACCAGCAGGGTGTCTCGGAATACACGGCCAGGAAGTCAGTTGCGGGTTTCCGTTGCAAGTTTATAATAGACATCTATCGATTCACAGGAGCAGCGAGACGGCGCCAGTGGGCCACCCGAATTGGCACCTCCGTACCTAACAGCGGACAGAATTTGGACCCAAAGCGGGCGGCCGGTGGGATCGAGCCCGTGTTGGTTCGTCGCCGTCCCCGAAAGCGGTCCCTTTTTTTTATGATATTTGGTCGCCTTATGGCTATCCTACCGCAGTTTTGTGCCAGACCCAGAGTATTAACTCGGATTGAGGTTGCATAGGTGCAAAGCCTCTCCCAATTAGAGGCGGCTAAAATTGGTGCACCGCTGTTTCAAATGTCGAGTCCAAAGTAACGGTAACCCGAGCTAGTGGCTCTCAAGTAGATCAACGCTAAACATGCATCCAATCAGTGGGCCAGAGTCACTCACTGGCACCTGGACAAGCTTGTCGGACGAGCCGATCTCCCATGAGCTCCCATGGGGGTGCTGGACAGTCAGGGGGCCTGCACCAGTCGTTTCTCTCCAACGCATGCATGGATTTTCCATTCAGCGCCGAGTTCATCGCAACTGCTGACTCTGCGTCTCCTTTCGGCGGCTCCAGGCTGGAGCTCTGCCGCCGCCGTGCCTCTTTCAGCCATCAAACGTGCGTGTGCCTGACTAGCGCTCCTCTTCCGCTGGTCAGCAACGAATGTTTTTCAAACGTGATGGCCCTGTTCTCGCCAGCTTGCTTCCCTGCTCAATACGTGTTTGTGGATGGGAAAGAGCAAGCTCGACCAAGCAAGGGCAATGTGAGGTGTGCCTGGGTCTCAAAGGAATCAAAGAAAGTGGAAGGTAAGCGTCGACATGGGACCGTGGGTTGGCAACTTTGGTAGAGAGAAGGGACGGAGGGACTCGACAACAAGCCCCTGCACCTTTCCTTGTCTTCTGCAATGCCAATGCGGGGAGCGTAAGTGCCTTGCTTCCCCCACAACCCTCCAAGCCCCTGAGGTGGTCCGGCTCTTGACGTTTTCGCCTTAAGACGGCCGGGCCGCCGGTTCATGAGCGCCTTCCCGCCCCTCATCCCTGGTTCCTGCTCCTTACCACACGCTCTTTCCGCGACTTTCTGTGTTCCTGACGTGCCCGTGTGTGTTATCGGTGCTGGAAACCACATACCTTCCCAGCTTCGTTGTGGATCTGCCATCGCCACTGCCTCCGGTAACTGGTTGCCCGCTTATACGCACCACAGGACAGCCGTTCATTCCTTACGCAACAGCAGCTTCATTGATCTGACGCTGCTTCCTACCTTCTCTTGCTCGCTTCGGTGTCTTCCCCTGCCTTCCAAATCCGAGAGAGGCAGCTAACACTCTCGTTTGTGGAAGTCACCAGACTCCTTCTTTCCGTTGCCATAAGCGCTCCCCTCAAAGCCTCGGGGTATATCTACCCAACCTCACCTCCAGACTTTAGGTCATCTTCCTACAACATCTCCCATCCAACATCCATCCGACTGGCACACGCTCTCTTTTGCTTTACGATAGCTTGGCTTTCCATCTTTACCCATCTCTAAGCGTCGTCCGTTCTCTTCAAATCATCGAGACTGGCTTGCTCCGTCTACGACATCCTCACGTCAACGGCCAGGTCCCCGGCTTGACATCAGGACGGCATCTAGTCTGGAACCGACTTTGATCTGTTGATCTTCCAAGTCTCTCCACCACAAGTCGGCGGCATGGTCTTCTTCAAGTCAGCCCTCGTTGCGTCTGCAGCAGCTGGTGCTTTGGCGGTGCCTTACACGCAGCCCAACACACTCGACCTCAACAACACAAGTCAGCGATACCCGCTTACCACCACCCTTCAAACAACGTTGCTGACCGGCCTCCCAGACTCCATCAAGGCCGTTGCCGGCAGCCTTGCTCATGGCGCAATGTCCTACTACAATGGCAACGTCTCATCAGACGCCAAGGTACGTCGACATCCACCACCTGTCCTCTGCCCCGAGGTCCTCACTGACACATGTATTTCCAGATGGTCGGTGACCTGCCAGAACCCTATTACTGGTGGCAGGCCGGTGCCCTCTGGGGAGCCATGCTGGACTACTACCACTACACTGGTGACCCAAGCTACAACGAAGTTATCGCCCAGGCCCTCACTGCCAAGGTCAACACAGGGCCCAACTTCGACTTCATGCCCCCAGAACACGCTTCGGAGGAGGGCAATGATGATCTGGGCTTCTGGGGCTTTGCTGTCATGGCCGCTGCTGAACGCAACTTTACTCAGCCAAATCCAGATGCCCCATCCTGGCTCCAGATGGGCATCAACATCTTTGAGTCTTTGGCATCTCGCTGGAACACAACTCACTGTGGCGGCGGTCTATTGTGGCAGATTTACGAGAGCAACCCCAACGGCCTGAACTACAAGAACTCAGTCAGCAACGGCGGCTTCTTCCAGCTCGCTGCACGACTGGGTCGCGCCACTGGCGAACAGAAGTATTTTGACTGGGCCAACAAGGTCTGGGACTGGTCAGAGAAGGTCGGCTTCATCGACGCTGACCTGAAGGTCTATGATGGCGCCGACTCTCGCGACGAATGCACCAAGGTCAACCCGCTCTCCTTCACGTACTCCACGGGCATCTACCTGTATGGTGCGGTCGTCATGGCCAACGCCACTGGACAATCTGTCTGGCACGATCGCGCGGTCAAGATGTTGGACACCTCCAAGCACTTCTTTGGCCCCTTTGAGAACAGCACAAACATCATGTACGAACCTGCGTGCGAGACTGTCGGCACATGCAACACGGATATGAAGACATTCAAGGGATATCTCTCCCGCTTCATGTACAAGTCGGCCCAAGACTTGCCTGAGCTCAAGCCCGAGGTTCTCAAACTGATGACCCCCACGACCCAGGCTGCTGCCAATGCCTGCACCGCAAATGACACTGGCGTCGTCTGTGGCCAAAAGTGGTACGTTGGCGGCAATGATCAGTCCGTAGGTCTCGGACAGATGATGAGCGCTCTCGAAGCTGTACAGGGCTACGCCGGCGATTCCGCCAACGACATTGATTCCAACAAAATTGAGCAGGCTATCTTAACCTAGTTGGTTTTGAACAACAAACTGCATGCTTCTGCCAAGGGGTCACTGGGCGCCAATGGCAACTTCGACCTTTTGCAGGAGAACATTACTTCGGGCAAACTCAAAATCGATACTCGTGGAAGCCAACCCGGGGCAAACGGCTTGAAGACCACCATTGATTACGAGGTCAAGCACCAGATCAGGCTCAAGGGCGACGGCTCTTTCAAGGCAGGCTTTCAAGACCAAGCGAGTATCGGCGAGAAATGCAATGACGGGCATCGTCTTGGCCTCGGCGCTTGGAACGTTGCTGCGATTGTTGCTGGATCGCAAGTTCTCTTCTGGGGCATTCTCTGATCTGATGCCAGGAATTGGTGCAACTTTTCTGATGGTTTGAATGGCCTGGGCGTTTGGCTGGATGAACAGGAAAAAGGAGCACGGAGTATTGTTTAATAGTTATCATTACTGGAATCACCTAATGATCATGAATCTTTTTTCACGGCTCTGAATTCGTCTGCTCGATTGGTTACCTCTCGTGGGTGTTTCCATGACATCGGTAACTCCTTTTGCAAACAATTCCACTTGGAGACGTCCAGTCTCTTCCACACTGTTCATGACGACGTGGATTGTTGAATTGTGTCTCCATGCCCGACGCCACGGCGTGTTTCGAGGTGTGACGAGCACCTCACAAAGCGAGATGGTATGTAATATTCAGTGTCATGCTCGTGTGAGCCATGGGGACCTGTCGTAGTAGGAGCCGCCGGGTGGATGATGCTGAGCACGCTTCGGCAGGCAGCACGACATCGGCGCAGCATGCCCAGGCAGGCGGTGGTATCGCATGATTTCGAGGTGATATGACACTTGGGTGCCGAGGTGCTGCAGTCGAGTAATGAGTCCATATGTATCAGTGGCGTTTTTGTTTCTGTATCTTTTGCTCCTCTCTCTCTCTCCCTCTCTCACTCCCTCTCTCACTCTCGCGCGCGCCCCTTTCCTTGCAATCCTCGCCATGCTGGTGAAGCTTTCGAAAGGGGCCTTTTGTCTTTCGCTCACATGTACAGTCACGCAGTGCCAAGTCTATGAAACATCGGTGACGGTTGTAAATTGTTGTTGTTGTAGAATACTCCAACGCCTCGGCGTTCTTCTCAACCCCGAGACCTACATCCCCCCGCAGTCTCAGTCAGGGTGACGGTATGTAGCTTTCGTGTTTTTGCCATAAGAACTGTACCCGTGGAAACAAAAGCAACTTGGTATAACGCCGATATGGGGGTATCACTCCAATTGGGAGCACATTGCGTGAACAGCAGACCCGAATCGCCAACAAAATCAAGTCATAATAGGTTGCCCAGTGGGTGCCAACCTCTCCAGCACTCCATCAATATTTCGCGCCGAGGGCGAGAGGGCAGCGACCCTCTCGCCCATCATCACCCCGACGCACGTTCCTCTTTGCTCTGTCTACGTGTGGACTCGTGCCGACCCATTTTCGTATTCTAGAGGAACGCTGCCTCTGCACTAGTGCATGTCTGCATGAATATCTTTGTGGTGTATGTACACCGTTTCTTTCGCATGCTACTATGCTATTACGCTAGCAACCAGCATGGTGCATATTGATGCGGCGATTACCCAGCGGGTCTCGAGACGCGACGCGGCGCTGGGGCTTGTCTCGACGGGCATTGAGGAGGAGATGGTGCCGGTGTAGAGGAAGTCGTCGTAATTTGAGCCGTCGGTGGGCGCGGCCGTCGGCATAGCTTCAGTCTTGTCGGGCTTGTCGGCGAGAGTCAGGACACCCCATTGGACCTCGGAGCCGGTAAGGGACGAGGTCCAGGACACCTCAGTCGGTCCCGTCAGTTTGCCATTCGAGTAGCCACTCTTCAGGCTCGAGTAGCCAGAGCACGTCGCTGCCGTTGTTCCGCCTAATGTGCAACCGAGGTCCGCGATCCTATTCAAGCGTATCAGCCTCTGTCGGATCTAACCTCGAACTCGAGAGACAGGGTCCTAAACGTACAGTGTTGATGTCTTGGTGCCGTGGAAGTCGAGCGTCTGCTGGCCTTCAACGAAGATGAAGGGGAATTCGAGGGCAAGGTCGCAATTTGGGGGCGTTTGCGGCGCGCAGAAGATGGTATATGTCGTTTCCTTGGAATTCTGCAGCAGAATCATAGTCAGTTTACCGGAGAGCGCATATCACAAAGGGGGGGGGGGGGGGGGGGGGGGGGGCATAGCTCCTCTGGATTTCTTTTCGTACACTTGACAATACGCTGCCCCGCACCAGTGACCAGCTTTTAGCATCGTAGTGCGGTAGGTAGATCGGGACGGTGGTGATATCCTCGGCGAGGACGGTATTGGAGGAGACCAGACATAATGACAATAACGCGAGTAACGGCTGGGGGTATTTCATTGTGACGAGACGTGACGGGGCACACAGAGCACGTGGGCCAGCGGCGGAGGTAATCGACAGCACCGGGGAAGAGGGCGAAAGGTGCAGCAGTGGCGATTGACGTCAAAATGCTGAACTCATGGACGGGAGGCGGCTCATCGGAGGCGGGCTACCTAGACAAGGCAGTTCCCGCAAGCCAGCCGGACGGGTAGGAGAGCTGGGTCGGACTTGGAATGGGTGATAATATTATTAAGGTAAGGTAGCGTAGCGTAGGGAGGAAGAAATCCAGAAGGAGTTGTTCTCGTTTCGTCGGCGGAGAGTGGGTTCGTTCGTTTCGCGGAGGTCCCGATGCGGGTGCGTATCTGTATCGCGAAATGCGCAATGGACCGTTAGTCGTTCCCGGGGGCTAGGTACGGCGGCGTGGGCTTGGTGCAGGGCGACGTCGGCGAGGGGTGTCGAGAGTACCTATAGCAATGGCAAGGGGAGGACAAAGAAGAGGGAGCTTTGGAGTTGTTCAAGGTCTGGGCATATGCTGGACTTGAAATGCGACAGCAGACGAAGATGGGGGACCTGATCAAGTGAGCGAAGGAGGAAAAGGGCTCTGCCAATGCGCCGTCCTTGCCGGCCAAGGCTGGGCGAGAGAAGGTGAGCAATTGGCATTCTTTGTAGCCAAATGGAGGCCAAGAAACGAATACCAGACATGCCCTTGCAACTCAGCAAGAGGAGCGCAGAGTGGCAGAGGAGGCAGCGCAACACAGCACAGCACAGCGTAGCACAGCAGCGTTAATGCCCAGGACCCAGAGGTGCCTCCACTGAGTGTGCGCTGGGCACCTCAGTCCGCTCCAGGTGGGCGTCCGCCGCGGTTGGCGGTCCCATGGCGGATGCTAGAGGCCTACCGACTGCGTACCTAGGTAGGGGAGGGAGGAGCACGGCAGAAACAAACGATGAAAGGTGGAAGGGGGAAAAGAGCCAAGAAATGCCAAGACCGTGAAATTCGCAGAAAAATATGATGAACTGGGTGGGCACGGGCGCATGAACTGGAGCTCTGAAGACTGGAGCTAAAACAACGACTGGCCAACAGCATCGCGCCGGGCCAGGGCAGGGCCACCCCGTCCGTCCCATTCCAGCGTACCTAAGGTAACAACCTTATGCCCGCCGCCCCGCCACGCTGAAGGGAAAATGCCCTGAGGGCTGAGGCCAGTCGAGGTCAACCAGCTCCTTCCCTCCTGAGTCCTGAGTCCTCCCAGAGGAACCTTTCGGAAACTTCCTGCCCGCTGCCTGCCCACTTTCCCGGTCCAGTGGTCCCCGCCACCACCCAGTTCGAGTGTCCGTCCTTCTTTCCCGCTGATTGAACATGAGCACGATGCGGAAGCTGCGAGGCCAGTGAGACCTGCGAGGAGCTCGACAGGCCAAGCTTGTGCCGAGCTGGTTGCGGCGAGAGAACCGTCAACGAGGGATAAGGTGCTCGCTCGGGCTTGGTAGAGGGATCAGACGAACATCTACGGATACCCTTGGCGCCCTTTGGACGACACGGAAGCTACGACCAGTCGCTGGCTTGATTGCACTGCAAAGTCGTGACAGCGCAATGCCAAGTCGCTTCACCACGATGATCCAATGTCATGAATCGGGCGGTTCGCTGCGTTGCCCAGGCGTCGGAATGAGAGACAGCCTATGTCCAAGACATTGCGGCATTCACTTTGCTGGACGCCGAGATTCTATCATGTCTTACCTACCTGCAGTGATGCAGTCAGTGCCTGTGCAACAAACCTCTCAACCCCAAGTCCTCGGCCCCTGAGCTGATCGCATAACGGGTAACGGGTGACTCCACTCTTGCCGAGAACAGAAGAAGAAGGACAAGCATGTCAGAGATGGCCGACGACGATACCGATACCTACAACCGCACGATGATGGCGACGATAGCGAGGACAGCAAAACCCGCGAAACAAATCCGGTTCCACGCCGTCAAAACAGCGGTCCCCAAGAGGAAAACATAGCCATCGCCAAGACTTGTCAAAACGCCCAGAAAGCATGTCGGCTGAGTCTGTCTCGTCATCTCGTGTTCCTGCACCCCTTTTCGTTCCCAGCTTAGCCCCCAGAAAGACCAAGATACGCTTACGAAATGCATTACCCACGCTCTTCTCTCGACCTCTTCCGGAAGTACGAATGATGTTCGTCTGGCCTCTTGGAACATCGCTTCAACGATCAACATACCCACATTTCGGCACCGTTGGCCGACCGAAACATGTCAAAACAAACTCATTCCCGCCCTAGAGAAGGGGTTGCCGATATGCTTCTCTGCTAACCTGCTTTAACCGCCCACCGTCCTCGCACCACATCCTGAATGATCCAGCTGCTCACGCCCAGCCATGCTCAGCCAAACACGGCCCTTCAGCAATTTCTGACCACGCGAAATGCCACACAGTTGTTCGAGCGGGTCGTTTGCCTCCACAAACGGTTCTGTCGACCGGCGCACCCAATCGGAGAATTGCCTTGCTGATGGGAGCCTAAATATCGTGGATGTTCTCCTGCCTTTTTCTTCTTTTGCTTTAACGCTCGCAGGATACGAGCGGCTAGCCGACATAGGGCACTCGTGTGTGTATTGTAAACCTGTTGCGGCACAGTCCTCGTAAAGTAAAGGAACTTCTGTAATGGGGTTGACTATACATATAGAATGCCATGAAGCCCGCAATTGCATCGCCATGTCGCACGAATAGTTGCTTGTCGTTGTATCTTGCGTCACAATATCTAGAAACAAAATGAAGAATTCCGCGCCCGTCCTCGTCGCCTTCATCGGCATGGCTGCCGCGCAGACCACCACCAAAATTGACGTCGTTGTGCCGTACATGGGCAACTCATCCTTCCACGCCTCGGTCCAGGATGCCAAGCCTGCCGCCACCACGTACATCCTGGGTTGCGAAGCAGACATCGCCAAAGGCGGCTGCGTCGCGGACGAGAACTCCGTGATGAACGGCACCTGGGACGGCCTCACCATCATCAATGGCCCCAAGACCGTCGCGCTGCACCACACTTACAGTGACAAGGACCTGTGAGCTCTCTCCACGAATAGGGTGGCGTCGAATGCATGTGTAAAAGGTGACCTGACATGTTCCATCGTCCAGGTCCATCGGATTCGAAGGCTCCATCGAAGGGTCGACGATGCGCGTTGTGGAAACCCAAACGCAGAGCGGCTCCACCGTGCGCATGGGAGTGTGGAATGTCGACACAGAGACTTTCACCGTCGCCCTCACGGTGACTGCTGGCCTGGACAAGCTGGCGGCGCAGGCGACGGCGGAGACAGGGGCTTCGGCGACGGGATCCGGAGCAGCGCAGACTGGCGGGTCGGCGACGGGATCGGCGAGTCCCACTTCCACGCCCAACGCGGCCGTGGCTCGGTTCGGCAAGGCGGACTTCTGGGTGGGCGTTGCTGGTATTGGAGCCGTTGGGGCCTTGGTGTTGTAGGGCTTGGTACAGAGTTTATGTTGCGTGTGTCTCGACCACTGCTGAGTGGCCTTGAGTCAAAGTCATTGTTGCTCTGGACGCAGGTGATGTGTGTGTCCAGCTAGACAATGTGCCGACAAGGGCAAGACTTGTTTGTTCCTTGACAAACCACTGTCAGTCAAAGAATCTGTGAGTCCTTCGTCGGAAGCGAATTGTATAGTCGGCCTGATCAGTAACATAAAGGTCGCCTCCGTAGACGCGGGAGGACCAGGATAAATACAAGTTGGATAAATTACTTCCAGTCCGAACTTTAGACTTGCGGTATCAGATCCATACATATTCTATCACTTCCAAGCTCGCCTTTTTACTCATCACCCCCACGAACGCAAATCCCCCGGACCTCAATCAACAAGATGGAGACCATCTCAGTAGTTGCCATTAGCCTCAGCGTTGCTGCTTTCTTCCTTGTGTGCTTGGTTTTCGTAATGTGGCGCTGCGTCATGTCCCCAAAGGCTCAAAAGACATATTTCCATCGAAACCGAGGACTTCCTGAGGAAACCATGCCCGGCGTCTAAGGAAGGCGTGGGTATCTCCAGGTGGGATAGTTGAGATGATACTATGCAAATAGTGATGGGAAATTGGTTCATCATAGACATACAGAGCGGAGAAGACACTCTTCATAGGGGCAGTGGGAAAAGTGCAAAGCCTTGTCCGTCCTAATTAGAAACGAGTGGCCGTTCCCGCAAAATTAAGGCCTTGTATAGCGATGTGTTCTAGTAACAGTGTGAATCCTCCAAGCCACCATGCCCGCAACTCCGAGTTTGCCATGCCAAAAAGACGACTCCAACAGAAAATCATCACCGAGCAAAGTGGTATATATGCGACTGCGGAAACAAAGAAAACGAGAAAATCACATGAGAGGCCGGTCCTCACGACCGTCCAACCAGCTAGAGCAGTTGACGCAACGTTGGGCCTGGAACGAAATCATTATTGCAGTCGGCGACTTTGAGCTATTTCGGCACATACTTTGATGCTGATACGCTTGCGGCAGTACTTGCACTTGACCGTAGGTCTGATGATCGGGTCTCGAGAAAAGAGTTGAAAGATGTGCGCCAGGCCATAGAGAGCGAAGCCGATGCAGAAGAACGAGACCAGTTGGTTGAGAAAAGAGCTTTCGAAAACAGTCAGTAGTCACGCACAAGAGAACAGCACTCCCAGTGAAGCAACGTACCCGTAAGCCATAACGACTGCACCATCGTCCTTGGCGCGCTCAAGAGTCGTGTACTTGTTCTCGTGGCTGTAGTTGGGACCGCCCTTGAGAACGGCGAACTTCTCCTCAATATTGCGGTTCAGAGGGAAGATGATGGACATAGGCGGCATCAAGATGTTGTTCACGAAGTTGTTGACGAGTGCCGTGAACGAGGAGGCGATCCTTTGGGGGAAATGGTCAGTCGCGATTCCTACTCGAGATTCGATACAGTTCTCAAGTCATGGTCTCCTGGAGACAGGGCCTGGTGCATGTGTCGATTGACACACGAGTGGAACTTACATCAAGCCCAAGGCGATGCCGAGAATGTCGCCCTGGGTGGCAAAGTCGAGGAAGCCCTGCCAAACCTTCCTCGCTTTCACCTGGCTTCGGTTGAGAAGCGGGATGAGCTGGTCGCCCTCCTCGTCACTGTCCTGGAGCTCCGGGTGGCTGTTGGCGGACGAGATGCGGTTGCTGAATGGGAGAGGCATCTTGAGGATTCTCCTGAGGGGGCGGTCCTTGAAAAGATGCAGCGGTTATCGCGAGGTCGGGAAGGCAAAGTTGGGCGCAAGACGGAACTCTGTTCGGCACGAGAGGCTTGAAGTTGACGCTCGAGTTGGACTTGAGATGTAGTTGGGACGGCGGGGAAAGTCTGAAGTTCAGCTAAGGTTGGGCTTAGGCTGAGGGGCAGCTGAGGTCGTGGCTGGGAAGGTGCTTTCCTGTTTAGGGAGGAATGACGTACCCCACATTCCGGACCTCTGCGGTAGTAAGTGGGTCGTCGGAGCCGGAGCCGGGATTCGGTTGCTGCGGCAGACGCAGGACGACAAGGTCGTCAGAAAATAGAGACAGTATGAGCTTTAGATAAGCAGAAGTCAGGGGCAACAAGTTGTATAGATACGACGAGGATGAAGACGACAATAGGTGCCAAAACGGTGCGGTCTATTACATGCACAGGCTAAAACGGCGAGAGACAACGGTTTTGAGGCAAACATGCCATTCAAAGTAATCTATTCTTTTTGCTACATTTCGATGTTCTGTCTCGAAAATGTTCGTTCTAAGGAATCATTTGTCGCATCAATGGTATCTTCTGAAATAATGAAAAGGATCGTGATGTCGGGGTGGCCGTTGTAGACCGGCTATCAGGCCAAACCTGACAAGCAGGGTTCAAAAAATCGCTTTCGTGTCCAATTATCCAATCTGTAGAAAAAGAGGCCCACAGGGTTTCGGTTGACTATTCTTCAACAAGGTTCACTCTTAGAAGCTGCCCTTGTTGTGGCGCTTCTCAGTGTACCCTCTCTTGGTTGATCGTCTCGCTACACAGCACTGAGTAACCCAGTAGACGGCAGAGACGGCCATGACTGCAAAGGCGACCCAGGAGATAATCATGAACTTCTGGCCGGCTTCTGCCGATAGACCAACGTCTTCGCCTACGTCGTTGAGCTGCTCCGCGCCCTTCTTGGCACCGATAGTTGTCACCAAACTGCCGGCAAACAGCACGATTGCCGCAAGAATGGCGAAGGTGAAGTTAGGTATCGTCACACGCTTGGCGGGACCAAGGAAGAAGGCAGCAAAAGAGCCAAGAATGGCAAGACCCGAGAAACCGATGCCTAGAACATAGAGAACGAAGATGGCGAGCAGAGCCTCATTGACTTTGTCCAAAGCATCCTCGATGGTATCGGGCCAATCGAGGTCAGCAAGGCTCAGACGCAGGGGGCCGACGGAAAGCTCTTGGTCCAGCATCTTGGTGAGGTTGACATTGGCTAGATGAGAGTTAGTGATGGAGCATAACGGAGCGGTACGACGTGGGACTCACGACCAGGCTTCGGCTGGGTGCAGGCAGAGACGTTGAGCCAAACGTTGGGAGCCGTGACGTTGGGCGCAAAGTCGCCCTGGCACACGTCCATCAGATGCAGGGAGTACCAGTGGGAGATTCCGAGCTCGTCGGCGAGACGATCCGCGATGTCGTTGCCGATGTCGTTGATAATGTCAGACGTCTTGTTGCGGACGATACCGACTAGCCTATCCCAGGTGCTTCCGTCGTCGCCGGATGAATCAGAGCTCACGTCCAGAACATTCTGACCGAGTCCGGATGTATTGAGGCGGATCACGTCGTAATCCTCCATAAAGCCCTCCTTCTGGCCGGCAAAGAGGGCCAGGAAGGAGAGTACAAATGCCACTATGGATAGTACCAGCGGCACTATCGCGGTGAAATGCATGTTGCCGACGAAAGTGTTTGCTTCGTGTAAGACAAAAGAAAGGTGGTTGGATTGGGACGCTGTCGGTGAGCAGGTGGGAACACGGCCGGAATTGTGAGATGCGGCCTGTCGACGGGTTGTCTAGTACGTGGTGATTTGGAGCTGGAAAGTGACAGTAACGAAGTCAAGGACTCTTGACTTCAGGGCAGCCAAAGCTACTGTCCTTATGAGGGAGGGTGCGACCTAAAAAGATGGGTGAATCACAGCAGGCCAGCCCATCTGAGACCCCATCAAGACCAATGATGCAACCAAAGAGACCCTAACTTCCTGAGTGGGCGTCAAAGAATGCTGTGCCGTGACGATGGAGACGGGGGTCAGGAACAAGGCCGTTTGTCTCCATCGGCGTCACTTGACTGGCCCGGGGAAAACTCAAGGGCCTGGGCGGCAGTTGGGCGGACCAAAAAGAGAAGAGGCGAACATGATTTACGCAGTAGGTTGTTTGTACCCTGTGAGTGTTGCTTTGGTGGGTGGAACAGCGCAGCAAGTCCTGTCGGGCCTGACGTGGCCAAGATTTTAGTCATGCGAGAAGGGTTGGTGTTGGCTTGTTGTTGTTGCGCAGGTAGGTCGGTCGGGTCGGTGGGCGAAGATCTCGAAGTTTGCGTCATCGGGGCCCATCTCTCGTGTCTCTCCAGCCATTCTTTCCAGGCTGGTGGCGCCAGTGTTGTCCGTGGGCACACGGGGACCCACATAAACCGGTCTAGCCCGTTCATCGGATGACGCCCGGGAAAACCTGTTTGGACGAGACAGGGATGTGGCGTCAGGTTTTGGGCAGTTCACAGCCACTGAGGACCCTGAAGGGACCTGCTTCTGAGGGTCTCACGTCCGAGGTTGCGTCTCGTCTGGCGCTGTGGAGGCGGCCCCGGCGCGAATGGAGACGTGTGGCAGGCTTCAGAAGCACGCCTACCCAGCCGAATACATGAGGTACCTTACTCTGGGTAGGGAATTCGCTACACGTCTAAGTATCCTCTGAATTGGCATTGGCCAAGAATCTCCCCAATCCATAGGTGATGAACGACCTTGCTTGGTTTCCAAAATGAGAAGAGGGCTCGACTTTCTTAGACTGATCTGTTTATCCCAAGAACGGCAAACAAAAATAGAAACACCTGAAAGGCTTCTTTCTTTTCCGAGGGAGACTGTCGCGTTGTTCCCACAACAATCCTGCCGTCGGTATTCGGACGCGGCGCTCGATTTCGTGAATTTCTCTACGGATAGACATACAGGATTCTCCGTGTCAGCAGTTTGATTGCTTTGCTTAACCACCTTCCTTTACCGGATAGTGTCTCAGGGGAAGACTCCCTTGGATTGCTTGCTGGCAACCCGGGGCATTAAAAGGGCCAATCCCTCAGCCCCGACTTACTCGACTTCCCTCTTTTTCGTCAACTTTCTCATTGAAGCCTTTTCGCCCACCATGGACAACTCGACTTCAACCATGTGCTCCCCAGCCGCCGACGATTCTTTCGGCCCAATCATCCAGGACTGCCGCGACGGCTTCGACTTCACTCTCACTTTTGAACAATGCCTCTTCACTATTCTCCCTGCCTCACTGCTGCTTCTCGTCGCCCCTCTTCGTCTCTTCCAACTCGGGAAGCTTCCTCGCGCTGTCTCTGGAAACGTTCTTCGTCTATGCAAGATCGCCGCCATCGGCGTCCTTGCCGTCTTGCAACTCATCCTGATCGCACTCTGGGCGATCCATCGCGACGAAGGGCTTTTGCGCACCGTGTCTATCGCGGCATCTTGCGTGTCTTTCGTCGCCAGTCTGGTGTTTGGTGGTCTCTCGTACATAGAACACTCGAAGAGCCTTAAGCCTTCGTCCATCTTGAATACATACATACTTGTCTCTTTGGTGCTGGATGGAGCGATCCTCCGCACCATATGGCTGTCGCACTTAAGCGCTGCCATCAGCGCCGTCTTCACCGCCTCGTTTGCGTTGAAGACGGCCATCGTGATTCTCGAAGCCCAGGGGAAGACGAGGTATCTTGTCGATCCAGACGGTCGGTCGCTGAGCCCCGAGGAGACCAGTGGCATTTACAGCCGCGGTCTCTTCTGGTGGCTCACGCCGCTGCTGATGACTGGGTTCCGTCGTCTCCTGAAGCCGCTTGACTTGTTCACACTGGATGAGTCCATGTCGGCTGCGGTGCTGAGCGAGCGCTTCTGGTTGCATTGGAACGAGTCATCGCCGGCGTCGCATGACACTACGAACGATTCACCTCGCCCGCACAGCTATCAGCTCGTCTGGGCTTGCATCAAGACGCTGAAGTGGCAGTTGTTGGCCGTCGTCCCTGTGAGGCTTTGTCTCCTGGGCTTCACCATATGCCAGCCTCTGGTCTTGAATCGTTTCCTTGACTTCCTGCAAGACCCTTCCGAGAATGTCAATCATGGCTATGGTCTTATTGGGGCATACGGCCTCGTTTACCTTGGCATCTCCATCACGTCAAGCTTCTACTGGCACAAAGCCTTTCGCTCCTTGACTATGCTCAGGGGCGTGTTGGTCGCCGCCGTCTACTCCAAGACGACGGAGCTCAGGAGTGCTTCCAGCGACGATTCCGCAGCCGTTACTCTTATGTCGACAGATGTAAGTCTCCCGACATCTTACCGTGTACCGCGAGTATTAACTTTCCCAAGGTTGACGCCATCATCCGCGCCTGGCGGGAGATACATGAGTTTTGGGCCAACATCATCCAGTTCGCCCTTGCAACCTGGATCCTCAGCAATCACATCGGCTACGCAGCCGCGGGCCCCATCATTGTGTCGGTTTTTGCTTTGATAGTTACTTTCTTATTCGCTCCTGCAACACAAAAGTATCAAGTTGCGTGGATAGAAAAGGTGCAAAAACGCATCGGTATGCATCTTTTCATTCTGTCATAACTCACACCACTTACGGTAATTTAGGGATTACTTCGGCAATGATGGGACACGTCAAGAGCATCAAGATGTCCGGCCTTACCCAGAAGCTCTCTCAAACGATTGCAGATCTCAGGATTTCGGAAATGAAGGCCGCCACCCCGTTCCGCGTGATTGCTGCAATCACTTCGGCCGTGGCTCAGATTCCCCTCATGATTTCCCCCGTGGTTGCTTTCGCAATGTATATGGCCATCATCTCCAAGTCTGGAGAGACGCTCGATGCAACCAAGCTGTTTGCTGCCCTCTCTCTGGTCATTCTGTTGGCAAGCCCCCTGTTCTTCATGTTTGAGACGGTCCTGGACTTGAGCGCGGCTCTTGGGTGTTTCCACCGCATTGAGAACTACCTATGCCAGCCGCCACGTAACGATTACCGCTCATTTCCATCAAGCCCCTCTATCAAATCGTATCACAATGGGAATGGTAGCTCTCATGGGGCGAACATCGAAGTGCGAGTTAAAGACGTATCGTTTCGGTGGAAACAAGAGTCTGTCCCTGTTGTTTATGGACTCAACTTCAGCGTCGGGGCCGGAGAGCTTGCCATGGTCGTGGGATCAGTGGCATCTGGCAAGACTACATTCTTGAAAGGTCTTCTCGGCGAGGTTCCTTACGTTGATGGACTCGTTTCGTTGTCCAGCAGTAAGATCTCATGGTGCGAGCAAAGCCCGTGGCTAATCGTAAGTAAAGCCGTATCGCCCGTTGTCGGACAAGAGCTCACATCAAATAGAATGAGACGATTCGAAAGAACATTACCTGCTTCTCAGAATTCGATGAAAGCCTCTACCGACAAGTCTTGACAGCTTGCGATCTTGAAAAGGATCTTGCCATATTCCCGGAAGGCGATCGTACGCTCATCGGTAGCAAAGGTCTTGCTTTGAGTGGAGGCCAGAAGCAACGTATCGTAAGTCGTACCCGGCGATAATGCTCTGCTGTTACTGACGCCGGTCAGGCGCTTGCAAGGGCAGTCTACTCCAGGCCCCGGATTGCACTCTTCGACGATGTCTTCAGTGGCCTTGACAATCACACAGCCAAGACAGTGTTCCGCAGACTTTTCAACCTGAAGGAAGGAATCCTGCGAGCTTGGGGAACTACAGTCGTTCTTGCTACACAATCAGGTGAGAGTTCGCCATCCAAGCATGAAGACATCCCAGCTTTGTACGTAAGACTAACAAGAGACATAGTCGGCTTTCTATCACAGGCAGACTTGATCATAGCACTTGGGGACGGGCAGGTGTTAGAGATAGGGACATTTGCAGAGTGCCTAGAGTCGGACGGTTACGTCAAAAGCCTTGCAGCTCTCGAGGCCGGCAGCGGTGATGAGGTCACTTCAAGCGAACCTCCCATCGACACATCCAGTAATACGACCGGGAACGAAACCGCCAAAACCTCTGCCGAAACGGAAGATAAGCGACGTCAGCTTGGAGACTGGAGCGTCTACAATTACTACTTTGGAAGTGTTGGCGCCATACTTGTGGCAGTTATGCTTCTCCTCCAGATGTCTTGGGCTTTCTTCTCGACTTTCCCGAGTAAGTGTTGCAATTCTCATCCTTAACATAGCATACTGACAATATTGTGAAAGCGGTCTGGCTCAAGTTTTGGACCGACCATAATGTCGACAATGCCGACTCGGACTCGGCGTACTACCTCGGTGTCTATGCTGCTTTGCAGGTTAGCGGCGTTGTTTGTTTCGCCATTCTCATCTGGTGAGTCCATGTACCGCACTCCTGGAGCCAAGAATTCGTAGTGAAACTGATATCTGCAGGTTTGTCCTTGTTCCAATCGCATCAAGGTCGGGCATCAACTTGCACCAGCGCCTTCTCAAGGCTGTCATGCAGTAGGTGATGTTTCCCCCAAGCAGCCAGATTCTCATGTCTGACAACATGAACAGTGCCCCACTGGCCCTCTTCACAAGTACTGACATCGGTTCCATTACAACTCGGTGAGTACCCGAAAGTCCCAAGGTCGGGCTCCAAGACGCCTGATGTGTTTAGGTTCTCCCAAGACATCGGCCTAGTCGACCGCAATTTGCCCCTGGCCCTGGTTGTATCCCTCGCTAGTAGGTTCCTCACCTGTACTGGTTTCTATAGACCAGACTCTGAACGTTACAGGCTTCTTCACCTGCATAGGCAAGGCATTCCTGATTGCCTCCACCTCTTGGTACATCGTCATCAGCTTCCCGGTCTTGATACTCGTCTTCTACTTCATCCAGAGGGCGTATCTCCGTACCTCCCGCCAGCTCCGCTTCTTGGATCTGGAGGAGAAAGCCCCGGTGTAGTAAGCCATCTTTGACTCTGGCCATACAAGATGAACCTTGGACGTTGACATCGATTCCTAACAGCACCCACTTCCTCGAGACGCTTTCTGGGCTCCCCACCATCCGCGCACACGCCGCGACGACACCCTCCATAGCCCACTCCCACACCCTCATCGACCGCTCGCAACGCCCCTTTTACATCCTTCTTCTCACCCAACAATGGCTGACCCTCGTACTCGACCTAACCACAACCGCCTTAGCCCTGCTCGTGGTCGGCCTCGCAGTCCGCCTCCGTGATACCGTCTCCGTAGGCCTGACGGGAGTCTCTCTAGTCCAGCTGATCTCCTTTACCGAGACCCTCAAGATGCTGATCCAGTTCTGGACGTCTCTGGAGACATCCATTGGTGCTGTCGCACGGATCAAGAACTTTGCCGACGATACTCCTGACGAGATCGAGGATGATTTGCTCAAAAGGCAGCTCCTCTGCTCTGAAGGCCGACAAGGAGTATCGGCGACGTTGCTTCCAGGATGGCCTGACAAAGGCTGCATTGAACTACGGGACATCTCGGCTTCATATGCGTCCAGCGCCAATGATTATGATGAGAAATCAGTGCCCAAGGCCCTAGACGGTATCAGCATCTCCATTCGTACGGGTGAGAAGATTGGCATCGTCGGACGCACTGGGAGTGGCAAATCCTCGCTTCTCCTCGCCTTACTCCGCCTCCTGCCTCTATCGTCGGGTTCAATCCACATTGATGGCCGGTCTCTGGACACCCTCCCTCTTCTGGAACTCAGATCGGCTCTGATCGCAATCACTCAGGACCAGTTCGTTCTCCCGGGAACAGTCCGCCAAAACATCGACCCGTTTGCCGCGGCCTCTGACGAGAGCATCACTTCCACACTGACACGTCTCGGTCTTTGGGATGCCATCCAGGAGAAAGGCGGCCTGGATGCAGAATTTGCTGAGGAGGCACTCAGTCACGGGCAGAGGCAGCTCTTCTTCCTGGCGCGGGCTGTCTTGCGTCGCGAAGTAGGCAAAATCGTTCTCTTGGACGAAGCAACGAGCAGGTAAGGCCTCCGCCGTTACCACCCGATTCGTTGCAGACGTAGTTGAGCTTACATGGAATGCAGCGTCGATTCCCACACCGAGCGTATGGTCAAGGACCTTATTCGCGAGGAGTTCAAAGAACACACCGTCATCGCGATCGCGCATCGCCTAGAAACTGTTGCTGACTTTGACCGAGTCGTAGTGCTTGACAAGGGACATATCGTAGAAGTCGGTGAGCCGCAGTCCCTCCTGCTCGAGAAGGGTGGAAAGTTCAAGGAGCTGTGGGATGCGAGCAGGCAGAACCGAGTCTCTTGAGACTAGATCACGAAGCAGAGAGTCGTCGCAAAGACATGAACTGCCTTGCAGTAAAGGTTCTATTCAATTGTAATTGGTATGCTCTAAATCACAGTGTGCGCAAACGCCTCATCTATCTGGTCTCTTTCGACGGTGATGAACCGTCCCTTTCCACCTCTTTGCCCGACAATGTACCGTTCGATTGCCTTGGCCATCTCTGCCGCCTCCAAATACCTTTGGCCATCGGCTATAGGAGTATTTTCGCTTATCTCGTACCCATACTTCAATACGAGTGAAGAGACCTTGCTCCACGGCCCATTCCAGTCGACCTTATCACCATCTACATTAACCATGAGCGCCTTGAACCAAGCCCCACAACCAGTGATATCTAGATGTTCCAATCCATACAGGCACTTGCTCAGCTTCCGCAACATGATGACGGCCTCAGTCCAGTCATCGTCAAGGGTGTGAGAATACGCCCCGGTGCCCGCATACTGTGACGTGTGGCCCTCAGGCGATACAATCGTCGCGAACTTTGCCTTAGGCGTCAACGCCGGCTCGGGCCAGTAGGCCAGACTGAGATGCGTGAGGGTGGGTAGTTTCGCCGTGAGTGCGAGCAGCTGCTTCCACGACACACCGGGCCCATCGGCACCAGCTCCTGGAGTGACGGCCAGACAGAGATGCGTAATGTTGGGCAGAAGCTTCGGAGGAAGCGATGGTGCCTCCGCCGTGTCCCAAGAGTCATGTACCTCTTCCGGTGCCAGAGCCAGCTGCAGCGGGAAGAGCACGTCAGCCAGTTCCTTGACTGACATGGAACAGCCGATGGAGCCCGTGAGGTCGAGGAAGTAGATGTCGTTGTTCAGAGACACAAGGTCCTCGGGTTCTTGGAACAGCTGGGCCCCGTCCTCTTCGTCAACGGCGGGAGGTATCAGGATATTGCGCAAGTCCGCAGCGGACAGACCGGCCTCGTACCACAAGCCTACGTACCTGGCCAGAGAGGCCCGGACTCGGCTGGGAAGCGTGTGAAGGTAGTACCGATCATAATCCCTCTGGAGTTCCCAATTCAAAGCCATCCTGCGCAATAACAGGTCCGTCAAGCTGCCCTTGTCCGGCTCGTAGGAGCCCGGTAGGCCTTTGACGGCGCCGCGAACGGCGATAGCATGGGCGCTGTTGTAACGGGTGGCATTGCTGCAAGAACGGGAGAGCCAGCTGCGGGGAGGTGGCGGGCCGGGAGGGACTCGTCTCCCTGTTGCGTCAAATCTCGGGACACGCCTGGGTGGCAGAGGAGGCGGTTCTGGGATATGGAGGATCTGTCGGATGGCAGGCGGGACGGTGGGCGTGGCTGCCAAGGATGCTGCGGTGGTACGACTTGAGGAGGCGTGGGAGGATCGGCGGAGATCGGCCAAGAGTTCGTTAACGCCCTTGCGTTGGCTTTCTGTTTCCCAAGGCTTTCGTGTCAGTTTTCTGGGTTGACACCGCCGATATAGTATAGGGGAAGGGAAAGGGGTATGAACGGTAGGTAGGAAACGTCACGTCCGGAGACGCGGTGGGGGGTGGGGGGAGCTGGGGGGGATGTGACCGGAGGTACTCACGGCCAGATGTCGAGGCTGAAGCTGAGGCGCCCAACGATGCGGGGGCCGTGGATTGCGGCTTCGAAAATAGGGATTGATGCCTTTTCTTAGGCATGCCCGAGGAAATCTCAGATACGAGAAAGCTGTGGCGGAAGCTCCCGGGAGGAAGCTGGAGGGAGACGTCGAAATGCACCTCAGTGGCAGACAAGAACTGAGGGCGGTGGGCGGGGGAGGGGTGCAGAATCGCAGCAAACAACCTCGGGCGAACGTTTGTCGCTATGTACTGCAGCAATTTGCGTCTGCTTGGACGAGAAGGGGGAAAAAGCGTCAGCGACAATGATGACCAATTTGCTCCCGCTGGATTGTTAGTCACAGCAGTCAAAGCCAAGCCAAGCAGTCAGCTTCCGCAGTAATCGTCGGAGTCACACTTGACGGTGGAGTTGCTCAGAATCCTTAGTACGCATGCACCTGCAGTACGTACTCCATAAAGTGCCTAAGGTAGCAAGGTAGGTAGGGCGATTCGGATTGTGGAGCTGATTGAAGGTGTGGCTTGACTTGGAGGATGGCCAGGGAGGAACGTTACGGATACAACGTCATGTTCAGAGGAAGAAGGGGGGGGAGGCGGCGGAAGAGGGCGTGGGTGCCTGCTCTTGGCATCCATGTTTGTCAGCGCCCGGAATCGGCCCTGATTCGCTCAAAGCACATTCCATCGCAGTCAGCTTCCAGCATCAGCAAAGACTGTTGAATGAGTCTTCGACAAACATGTGGTCCGTGCATCCCGGCCGGCCCGGACAATGAGGGCCGGATAATGAGCCCGGACCAGCCCACAGACCGAGACGCCTTTGGCAGCGTGGAGCCCCGCTTTGGCGCCGGTCTTGCGGCGACCCACTTCGGTCTGTTTGAACCTACGGTGCCTTAGTCCCGTAGCTACTCCCAACTTTGCCGGCCCGATTGCCATTTGCGTCCACTTGTTCCCAGCCCCATCCGAACGACATGCCCCGCCTTGCCGTCAAGGCTGCTTCTTAGAGTTTGAGACTACACCCATTACCCATGTGCCACAAACCTTGGTGCGCTGTTTCAGCATCGTGAGGTGAGGGTGACCAGCTGCCGATTCCTTGGACCCAAAATGTACCTACTCTATCCGGATCTGGAGAAGAAGTCCAGACCCCATGCCGCTGAGGGACCATGGCGCATCGTCCTTGACTGTGATTGTCGACTTGACATCTTGGTAAAGCAGGGTTGGTGGAACCTGAAATTTGACAGGTAGCAGACCCATGCCCGATACCATGTGGCAAGAACGTCGTGGAAAACGAAGCTTATTGATAGAGGAGCGCTGTTTGGGTAACCCTCTTCTTGCAGAGTGTTGGGTCTGAGTCGAAGCATTCGTGGCGCCACCCGCCTCGGATATTGTTGATCACCTGCCTGCTGGGCTTGTTGTACCTTTCTGATCTTCTGGTCTACCTGGAGATGAGCTCACTCTGTCCGCGCCTGCAAAAAGACTGGTTAAAACTGCCGTTATCAGTAACCTACTCGTGGCTTAGATGCGCGGGCGCCAGTGGCCTCCTCCGGTACCGACGCGTTGTCTTTTCAGCTGCTCTTGTCAGATGATGTCTCGAAGTAGCAGAGGGTCTCTCGGTGAGCGGCTCGGAGTGGGCTGACATGAGCATCGGGTGCCCGCACCATTGGCCCTGTTGTCATTCGACCTTCTAGTAGATTCACTGGCTTTCCGTGAGTGCGAGTCATTGGCCCATCGAAGAGGCTTTGTTCGCTCAACTTTAACGAGGACTAGATTACTTCTGCAATCATTGAAGGCGCACAACAGCGGCCATCCTGATGTCCTGGCAGTGATCGCCTGCCGTCTTCCAGAGAGGGCTGACGGACGATGGACCGATGGACTATCCATGAAGATCCTGTCAAACGTTGCATCCATGGTAGCCCATGGTTGAATCCCGACAGGCGGGCCTGAAACCGGTCTGGGAAACAACGTGCATGGAAGCCGCGCACGGTGTTCAGTACTGAGACGCTGAGGTGACGCTCAACTTTCTCTCCTTGTGCTCCCAATATGACAGGATAGTCGCGGTAATGCTCCGGGCCACGGGACTCTTGCGGTCCAGGCCTTGTCATGGTTCATCATGGGTCGATGGTTCAGGCGGGCGACAACTCACGAGTCTCGGTCCATTTTCATTTCGCGTCCTCCAGGAGGCTTTCTGAGGGGGGCCCAAGAAGTCTTCCACAGCATGACCAGGGACTTGGTCGTGGAGACGAAACGTGGCTTTGTGGCGAGAAATTTGACTGATGGGAACTTTTACGTTTGACAGGTCAAGACTAATGGTCCCGATGTGGAAAGAGGAAGCGAACAAATCCGGAAATCTGTACCCTTACAATGACCAGATCCGACGTCTGAGCGGAGCTATAGCAACGTGGTGAATACCCTGCTCTTTCAGTGAGCCCATGATACACTTGTAGGCAGATGGCCGGTGTACACCGTGATGATCCCAAGTAGATGGTTCAAACGCAGGTCTTCATCTGCTCCGTGTAGCGATACAAGTGGCTATGTGCGAGGTACCCCCTTTCCGCGTGGCCACATACGAGCAAGTAATCCATAGCTCTTGGACTGGAATAGTCTAGGCTTTGGCACCCGAAACCAGACGATACAGCTCTTCGAAAAGATGGCATCGGCACGAAAGCGTGACGTTCAGACTCTGATTATGCGTTGACAAGCACAGCTCGTCGAGATGACTGAATCGAACCTCTTTCTCGACCAAGTCCTGTAAAGCGTATCCGCGTTTTCGGCTAACGCCCTCCTTGTACCACCTCAACTTGGAGCTGTCGCGGTAGGGGGCCTATCGCCCCAAAGTCACCAAGGAAAAGCCACGGGTAGTCGCGATCGCTGGCTCTTGAACCTGGCAGAGCTTCATCTCCAGAGCCCAGCCGGGTACTAGAGGACTGAAAACAGACTGGTTGCTCTTTTTAGTTGGTGCTTCAGTGAAAGGAGGTAGCTCTTGGGCAAAATTCGAAAAGAGCCGGCAGAGAGCGGGAGAGTGCGAAGGCTCATTTTTCGGAGGGCGAGCATCTGAAGACTCCGATCTCTTGACCGCTTCTTTGATGACTTTTGTGAGGCAACCAGCCTGTTGGGAAAGGCAATGATTCTATCCGCCACCCCTCCTGCCGGGGGTGGCTCATTGCAGGCCAAGGATCTAGACGCCCGCTTCGAAACTTCGAAACAGAGAAGACGCGGTGAGCCGCTGTCAACCTGTTGAAGCAGCTGAGATTCCCCTGAGATCCCCTTCACGCCGGTAGCTAGGCCTCGAACCCAAGGTGCGTATTGAAACCCAATTCCTGGAGCTACACCGAGGATGGCTCAAGCGCTAAGAAGGTAGTTTTGGCAATTTCAGCATGTCTCACTTCATCTCAGATCAGAAGTTGTCAGATTGTGCAAGCACCAAGCAGATGGCCCCGAGTTTGTGTTTAGTCCGAGTTCGAGTTCGAGTTCTTGACGAGTCTAAGGGGCCTCAATGAAGAGGCATCATATTCCTGAGAGCCAGACGGCAGCATTGCATGGCCAAGTAATGAACGGCCGGGTCTGCACGCAAGCCGATCCGCTTGGCTCAAGACTATAGCGGCGTCGGGGCGAGATGGCGACGTGTGGACCCAAACGGTCAACAGCTAACCCTTACAGTTAGCGATAAATTGCCGTCCGCAGAGATGGGGTGTAGACGACGAGCTTGCATCAAATAGCATTAAAAGAGACAACATGTCGCAAGCCGCGGTAGGGTACCAGAACGGCCCTTGGGGGTACCTGGTGGTACATGGAGCGGGAACAAGAAACGTCGACTTAGGGCGGGACGATCAGTAGCTCCGAGTGCGCAGATATTGAATACAGCCTCGGATGCAGAGGTCGAGCCCTGCATTGTAGGATGCGAGGAGAAAGTAGCTTGTGAGGGTTGGCGAGAGCAAAGGAGGATATTTTGAGGTCTGCCTAGAGACAGAATGGGATCCAAGACTCCACTCAACAAGCTGGACGAAGTCGTTTTAGGCCATTGCAGAAAAGGGAAATGCCCAAGCGTTTTCGAAGGCGAATGCCGCGCTTGGTTAGTTTGTGGTTGTTTGCATCGTGGCGGAATTCTAGAAGACGTGTTTGTCTACTATGGCATTGTGTCTTGACAAAAGCCATGTTGAGAGCAAAGAAGAGTGAATCGAGGCATGCGCGAAACAGAGAGATTGAGAGACGGGGAAGAAAAGAGAAGAAGCACGGGCTGCAGTCGTTTCTGCGATGGTGATGCCCACACTCACTCGCACGCAAATGGGCAATGCAAAGCGACTGCCCATGAGGGAGTGGCTTACCTTTGGCAGCGACTGATGAGGGAGGGGCCCATTGTCCCAAGGCCAAGGGAGAGTCACAGTCGGTGAGTGGTCAATGAGGGGTACATAGTAGAAAGGCCAGGTCAGGACAACAGCAAACGTCCGCGACATGATAGCGAGAGATGCAGCGGGCCACGAGAGGCCGCTTGAAGAATGGAACTTCACCACCGTCCTTCTTCTCTACCTGGGAAGGCACAGTGCAAGGCAGGAAGGAACGGGCTGCTGGTGTTGAGTGATGACGGGAGCTCTTGCCTGCCGGGAGCTGCACAGTTTACCTTAAGGTATCCAATGGGTAGGTACCTTCCATTACCTTTCCCAGCTGAAGGAAGGAGGCAGGGTCGAGTGGAGGGCTGGGAGACAGTGTCAAACCCACCAACAGCGAACTGTACGTCACAGTCCACTGTTCTGCAGCAAAACGCACTGTGCGCACCGGAGAGGTGAGCCTCCCTTCACCGTCCAATGACCGCCTCCCGTCTGTTTCCTACCTGGCAGTGCCACGGACTCCACTCCTACACCGTACCGTGCGAATCAAATGACATCAGGCGGGGTGGGTTGGCCTCCGCGCTTCTCTGGTCACCGACACCGAGACAGTGCAGAACTTCCTCCTCCATCCACCACGCAGCGGTTTTGACGACTTGTCTCGCCCAACATTCAGCCAACCAGCCAGCCAGCCAGCCCACCCCCCTGGCTCTCTTGTTTCCTCCTTTCTTTCAAGCCCACCCGAGCCTTACGCCCTGCTATATCCCCAGCAGCGAATGATCAGTCAATATCCTGGCTTCCGTCACCTTTCTGGCATGGCTACAGAGTACGGTACCCAGGCCTGCCACGCCGGTGGAGGGCTCCAAGGCACCACCACCGCGCCAGAGAACTTGCCTGGTGCGTGAAAGCACCAACGGCGGAGCGGAGCCTTGACGATAAATCTACCACACTGGGCTTCCGACACCTGTCATGCATCGCTACGCTAGACGCACGCGCAGACGCAGACGCAGACGCTGCCCAGCAAGCAAGAAGCAACAAGCAAGTAGCATACGTGGATTCCAATCTCCGTCACCTCACCGGTCTCGCCATATCCCTCCCCGCTGTGCCATCCCATCGTGATCCACAGCAGCCAACGGAATTCAACTTCTCTATCCCGCCACGGTCAAAGAGAGAGAACCCTGCCGTATCATACCGCCTCTTGGCCTTGGCTCCCGCATCGCAGATACATACAGGCACCGAGGGCCCTTGCCTACGCGGAGGCTGCCTGCTTCGCAGCGATGCTACGCCGCCGGTACAGAGTACGTACATTGCCTATGGATTTCATACCGACATGGCGGGCAGGCCGGCTCAGGATTCAAACATTACCCCCAGAACAACGCACCCAGGCAGCCCTTTTGCATATTGCACCGCACCGCACTGCTCCAATCACCCCATCAAAATTCTGTGTCACCACTCTGCCCGCCCCCTGTTGTGGCCCCATGCAGTAGTGACTTGCTTTCTGCACGCCAGACCGTCGCCATCAGCATCCGCTCCTACATGCCATCACTCAGGCTTTCAGCTGCCTGAGCGGTCTCCGCCTACAGCTGATGGAGAAAGGACCCTGGTGCTCGTGATACGTCACATCACACAAGATCTGATCTATGGACGCAGGCAGTGAAGAAACATGGGGAACCGGTACCCTTTACAGTTTCATCTGGCAGCCGGCCGCGAAAACCCGGCGACAGCGATGACGAGGGAGGAAAATAAGCTAACCTTCACACATCTGGGGGCGTGGTTTGATGTGCATAGATGGCATATGGCCGGCCACAACAGAGAGATCATCAGCCTGCCTCCGTCCTACCCCGTACGTACCATCCGTCCAAACATCAGCAGCTACCTTGGATCCAGCCACGGACAGGTCACAGTCAGGTTCCAGCGGCCCGATCCGATAGTACTGGAGCATACTCGACGGTCTACCTGCCAACCCATGGCAACCACTCTTCCTGGGCTCCCTCGGAAAAATGGTCCCACGCGTGGTGCATCAGCATGCTTTGCTGCAAGTTCTAGTTCTGGAGCTGGCAAACAGCCCCCTCAGCTGTTCGATCTGCGATCTTATGCCCTGCTGAACTGGCAATCTCATCACCCCGACCCCGACGTCGCCGTCTATCCGACCAGTCCGATTGACTAAAAAGCTCCGAAATCAGACTTCTGAAACAATCAAGTTGACTTGATGCCTCAAGTATGGTGGCGCGCAGACGTAACAGCTGGCTAGATCATTCCGGACTAGTTGACGGGAACCTGCACAAACGACCAATCCAACTAACGCGTCCGTCTATATTGAGGCTGCATTACAGAACACGAGGTGTAGAAGTCAATCCTCAGGCCCTGAATCTGAGCTCTTCTGGCTCGAGATTGGCTGTTCATCGCCCTATCCAGAGGAGCCCGACTGTCTGGAAATGGAGGCTTCCAGGTTTCTTTACCCTCCTCGGGTACGCTGTAATCTCATTGGGCCATCACGGAGAGGCACAGCTCAACAGGTTCTATTTCTGCGCCCTTGCTAGCTAATCCCACATTGGGAAACTAGCTATTTTTACAAACTTCGGAGAAGAACTTTTGAAGTCACGATGAGTTGGTGCGCAAAGAAGGAGTCCGGTACCTTCCCAGAAACACAGCATCCTGGGGCAAATGATCCGATGGCACCTTGTCAACCGGTTCAAGCGAAACCCTATTCCCCTCGCACGTGTCATGTGGCGAGCGTGTCTCGGCCGGCAGAGACACGCCTTCTTCACTGTTTGAGCTCCTAGACATGAGAGCTGGCTTGGGCCCCGTCGAACGTTATGTCAAGATAAACAAGCCACCAGGGCTGTTAGCTCGGCTCGGCAGCTTTAGGGCCGAAAGCTTCCTGGTGGATCTTCAACAATCCCATGGTTGTCGCCAAACATGTTGTTTTGGCGTGGCTGTGGAAGCCGCGAGGTTGCTTCCGTCATCCCCGTCAGCCCCGACCGCAGGTTCTCTGGCTGCATACAATGCTTCCGACTACACGAGGTCAAAGCTTCGTCATTCGCATTCACTAACATTACCTTCTTTGAGCCAATCCAACAACATCGACGCAGGGTGTTGGTCGAATCTGGACGTCATGCGGAACCTCGATCTCAGTGGCCGAGATAGTCCGCTAAACGCCCACGACCTACTTTTACGCCTGCAACGTGCCGTTGATAGCCCACTTTCACGCCTGGGCAAATCCTTCCCTATCAGAAGGGGTTGTTTGTGGCGTTTCATCCAGCCCTTGACGGACGGGTAGCCGCAGATTTGCTGCATGGAAGGAGAGGTCAGCGAGGCTTGGAAGGCGCTCTTCCGTTCACAGCACAAGACCTCGACTTACCCGGATACACACCGACGCAGGTCAGTAGATCCTCCGCTCCTTGGCCTCAGAAGGAAGAGGCTTCCGAGGCCCGGATCCATCCGTGGTATCATCGACAAACCACGTAGAAGCGGAAGAGCAATCCCATATTGTTGATAGGGACAGGCATAATGATGTCGACCAGTCGATAGGCTGAATAGGGAGGTGTCATTTCACCCTGATTGCGTCCTCAGACACGGACACAAAGGCTGGCTTGCTTGAATGACCCCGTGGCCTTGGGCCATTGAGAAGCTTGGCTAGCAAACTCGCGTCGTACGGGGCCCTCACCCCCTGCCAGAATACATCGTCTACGGCGGCTTTGGTTCTTTCCCGGTACTTTCACTCGACGGCTTGGCGATAGACAGCTTTCTGTTTTGCGCCATCAGTCTACACGCCCTGGAACCGTATTCCAGCAAAGAGACCACCAACGCAAGGCAACGCACGTCTCTTCGAATAGGAGACTGGGGGTATTGGGAGCTCTCCACACAATTCAATGTCCCTTCACAGTTGTCTCAGAGTCTGCACAACCCATTTGCTCATGCGTGGGGACTGGCTCCCGCCCTGCCTTCCGACTTCGTCTTCCTTGCCTTCGACTCCATGGCAGCCGGCAGTGTGCTTGAAAAAATTTAGGTATCTACTCTTTCTCTTGGTCTGTGCGACATATGTCGAGCAGTAGGTCGCATGTTGAGCCTCCAATCCATCTTCGCTGGTTTTGTGCGATCTCGAGCCAGCCACATCTGGGGGCCTGGTATATAGACACCTGCTTTCCAAGATCCTGCACTCTGTTGGTCTTTTCGCATCTTCTTGATCTGACCGTTCATTTCAAAATACCAAGCCTTTTCTCAGACGTCGAACCCATCAACGCAGGCATCGAAACTAGCTCGCCAAAGCTTCCTCGCATCAAGTACGCTACAACGACGAAGCTTATACGTCCTCGCGCCATCACAGTTGAAGTCCTGTCAGCTTATATAGCAAATCTGTCAATTGATTGATTTGCGCAAAAGTCGAACGAGACTCAGAGACCGTGAGTACAATTATTTCCTTGTTTTGTACTTGGTTGAATCTCACTCATCCGTTTCCTGGATGACGAACGGCAATGAGATTTGCACCAGGGGGCGTTGGCTTAGACCCATATTGCCGGCTGTAATACCGCGCCAGGCCCCGACTCGTCTCTATTTGAGGGGTTTGTCGGCGCTCGGAGGGGATTTCTTCTCAGGCGCAGGCGTCGAATTGAACGGAACAGGAGCTGAAGCTGACGGTCTCCAGGTAGCACAATTCGTTCTGCTCTTCTTCCTGCGAGTGAGTGAGCATCCGTCCCATAATGTTTGATTCCTCGGGGGAAACGACCGAGTGGATCACTGGTACTCGAACGAACGTCCAAGACAAAAGACGACGAGTGGAAGCATGCTGTATGGCGCAGAGTGGACGTCGAGTTAAGCTGGCTGGCTTGTCGATTTTACCGGCACATCTGCGTGGCTTACGCCGTACCCGTCAATGAATGGCGGTGTCCCTAACATGACCAATCCTGCCGGCTTACGGGGTCAAAAGAAACGACCAGCCTCCTTCCCGGCGAACATCAACCTCAGTTGCTGACAGCAGTTTCAAAATGTTCAGGTCGAGCAGGATAAAGGGCTACAGACAAACCCTTGGTATGACCGGAGCACTTTTGGAGAGTCAACCGGTGAGTGCTATGAAAAACCATTTCTCAGGCGAGAGAGGGGGAGAGGGGGAGGGGATAAGACATATCAAGACCAGATGGAGCAAGGCAGGATCTCGTGTCAAGTCGCAGGAAACGCCCGACAACCAACAGGAAGAGAGGGGCGCTCGGGTCTAGCGGGCAAAAGACGGACAAGGGTATTCTGGGAGAGCGTCAGCGTCACAGTTTGCTAACAACTGGGGGTTGGAAAAAAAGAGGATCGAGGAACTGGGGCGAGAAGACCGCTGCTCCAGCACCAGCACCAGTACCAGCACAGGTACGAGCGCAAGCATCAGCACCAGATCGCCGCCCATCTACTACGGCGCGACACCCCTCGTCGCCGGAGACGACCGTCGTATGAATCCTCAACAGCTGCCCAAGGTACCTTAGCTTTTATCTTTTTTTTTTTCCCCTGTCGGATCTCATCCCGTTTCATTTTCAGTCCAGCCCAGTCCAATCCGATCCTTTTCTGTCCGTTCCCCTGCAATGCGACTTCGCGCTTCGTTTTTTCCCCTTTCCCGCCTTCCCCTACAATCTCTCGCATCTAGACGCTGTGTTGGACACACAACGGACGACGGCCCCTACCTTACAAGAGGCGTCGAGCGCACCGTCAGCACAACAACCATGGGCCGGCCGGCTTGATTAACCCAATCAATTTGTCCTCCGGGTCTGCTGGCCATTTGGCGGGGTTTCGCACTTGCACAACGCACACTTCAACATCGTACAACTCAGCACAGCAATCGTCGGGAGACAGCCTGCCTTTTGACAAGAGACGGAGAAGTCAGAAAGCAGAATCGACACGACTTGACGGGTGGCGGGCGAGCCAAAGGGCAGGCAAGGACTGTCACTGGGCCAGGCCGCGTGCCGACGGCGTGATCCTGTCCCGAGGGGCAGCCAGGCGAACAAGCGGGCCGAGTGTGAGGCTTTGCGAAAAAAAAAAAGGTGCGTACGCGATTCGACGCTCATTGCTTTTTCCTGTTTCTCCCGCCTAGTGCACCTTCATCAGCGGCAGTTTTGATTTTGTTTGAATCTCAATCATTTCCCCTGATTTTCTATTCCACGGCCTCCGTCTGCAAGAAAACAGAAAAACGGACGGGAAGCACGAGGGCGCGCACACAAGAACCCCAGAAATGGATGCACTTATCGAGGTCGGAAGCTCTCCTGCTTTAGCCGGGTTTGGGACGATCAGTTCGACTCCCTGGACCTGGCGAGGCGCACAAGACAGGATGCCATGGCCCTTTTCATGCGGATCGGTACCACACCAGCGCCGTGCATCTGGCACCCAGCAGGCACTGCGATGCCTGGCAGCGCCTCTCGTCCTTGGGCGAGGTGATGGGATGTGGGCTGGGCGGTTGTGCAGGTGGGAGTGGGTGTGCGTGTGCCTCTCCTCCTCCTCCTCCTTCCCATGGCCATCTCTCTTGTGCGTGCGTGTGGTGTGTGTGTGTGTGTGTGTGCCCACCGCACGACTTGCCTTTTCGACCCCATCGGCTAGCTCACACGGTCGTCTGCAAGCAATTGTAAGACAGCCAGCTAGTCAAGTACTTTGTGGTGCCTGGCGGTATCAGATCGTACTGCCTGTATCCCATGTTGCCTCCTCTCCCGCACGTCTACTTCTCATCGGTCGGCCTCAACAAGACGAGGCCAGACCGGTCAAACACCCACCCCTCCGCTGCTGCTGCCACGAGCACCTCCCCTGCCCTCAAGACGTTTTGACTCCAGTTGCCTCTTCGTGGGAAGATGTCTCTCTTACGTGTCTCGAGCTAACTTATCACGACTGGTGCTCTGCAGGCCACACTCACTTGCTCGTTAGTCTGTCTATCCTCGATGGATCACACCTGAAGCGCCCCTCACTGGTCAAGCACGGCTCCCTGAAGGTTGCAACAACACAGCGTCGAGATCGGATTGCGAGATCTTGTTCATTGTTTTAATTTCCGTTTCTCAGCAAGAATCATGGTCTAACAAGTGCCGCCCCGTAACTAGGAGTTTGAGCCGTCGACGGGGTATGACTACCTTGACATCCAGCCATCAGGCAATGACATGCGGTATGTGGCAATTCCATTGGCTTTTTCCTCCCCTTCTTCTGGGGGACTCGTCGAAACAACGTCCCGCTCTCGATTCCTGTGCGCTGGTCAGGCTGCAGTGTGCTATTCGGCTCTGGTTCCTTTTTAAATGTCCAGATATCTGCAGCCCCCGGCAACAAACTTATCCCCCCCCACCCCAGCAGTCATATTTTCACACACAAGTGTAGTCCCAGACTCTTGGCTCAGCCTCTCGGTTCTTGGTAGGGTTTCTGCTCAATCTGTCTAGCTGGGCAAGCCTCGAGCAAGAATTGCGTTGCAGAGACAAAAAGAAGGCCGCCCTCATTAGCGGCAAAGAAAAAAACAAATCAAATCAAAGCAGTCCAGACACAGACACCAGAGGAAGAAAAACGCGAGAGAGATGAAGAGGCATGGGTAGCCGCCTTCTGGCACCCAACGTGCCACTAGAAATCCACAGGCATTCCCGCCTATCGCCGCGAGATGGTGGTGTGTCCTCGCATTTCCCGATCCTGTATCCGCTGGCGGTTGTGCAACGCGCTGCTGGCAGTACGACGAGCTGGGAGCTGGTCGCACTGACACTGTGTCTCGCATGCGGACGCAGTACAGCAGTTGTCGTGTCAGGCTTCCAACGCTCTGCTTTGCTTTACTTCCCTTTGCCTTGCACATTACTCTCTCCTTGGAAGGGAAGAAGACACTCGGGCTGACGGGAACATCAGATACGAACACAACGTCAATGCTCCTCTGTCGACGATCGAAGGCCCTCCACAGCAGCCGACGGCGCTCTTAAATCTGTTCAATCCACCTATAACCACCACCACTCCGTACTCCACTGACAGCGGCTTCTACCACACTGCTGCCTCTCACGTCTTTCCCAGCCTGGATGTCAGGCCGCGCCTGGGCTCAAAGTAGGTCGCACACCGTCCCCCCGAACCCCCGACAGCGCCGAATAGGATTGCGTCTATCCAGACAAGACGGACGGGCTCTATGCCCTCTAGCTCTAGCTCTAGACAAATCATGGCCAAACTCCCAGACTTACCTGACAGTAGCACCTCTTCGACGGGCATGCACCGCTCCACAGCATTACCCCATCCTGGCACACAAATCAGTGTGAGAGACCAGTATACTTCCGCGACACCATCTTTCAGGAGGGTCTCGGAACACCAACCCAGATCTCCATCTTACCCAACCGCTTTACGCCGCCATCCCATATCTCCAACTTCAAGCCCGATTACCGGTTTTACCGCACCGACTGCCTTGAGGATGGATGCCGCTGGCCATTATCCTCCGTCCTCTTCCAGGACACCCATGAGCGTGCCTCCGCTGAGCCCCATCACGCCCTTGGGCATCCTCCAATATTCCGATGGAGGAGTCGTCAAGATCGACATACATGGTAACATCGACAAAGGCTTCTTCCAGTCCGACGGCGACTGGACTTGCTACAGAAGGAACTACTTCTCCTGTATTTGCTCCTTCAGCCTGACCCCCCACTATCCCGGCCAGCCGCTGCAATTCACTCTGTCCGGGTCCACGCAGCCTTACAACGTCATCGGCTTCGCAATGTCTATCTCGGCTGTCGTTGCAGAGAACGACTCCCACGTAATCGAACTAGTCCAGCACACGCCTAAGAGAGACAAGGGCCCAATCGCGAAGCCCGAGAAAGTGCGCCTTCATCCCAAGTACCCTCACCAAGCGCATCCCCTCGGGCTATACCCTCACGACACCAGCCTTGGGGGGCCATCCAGAATCGGCGGCGGCTTCGCAGACGGCGGAAGTTTCCCAGGTGCCCAGCAGGGGGGCGACTCATTCCAAACGGAGCACACCTTTGAGCGCATTCAGTTCAAGCAGGCGACTGCTAACAACGGGAAGAGGAGAGCTGCTCAACAGTATTACCATCTGCTGATTGAACTTTGGGCGGATGTAGGCCAGGGACCCGATAACCTCGTCAGGGTCGCGTACCGAAAGTCGGCCAAGATGATTGTGCGCGGTCGTTCACCAGGACACTATCAGGCCGAAAGGCGCGCCAGCACAAGCAGCGGGCCAGGTGGATCGGGCGGCAGCATATCCGGCTACCCGAACAATACAATTCTCGGATCAGAATACTCTGGAGGAGGGGCGGGAATGGCAAATTGCTACGGAGGAGGCTACGACACACGCGGTAGTCAGTACGGAGCACGCCACCATACCGAGCTCGAACCTATGATCCCTCCCGAGGACGCCAAAGCCATCGATACAGCCAAGGAGTACCGTTACTACCCCGGTGCTATCTACGAGCCACCCGAGTCGGCAGGAGGAGTGGAAATGTTCCAAAGCCACCAAAGTCGGCAGGACCACATGCCGCACCTGGCTTCGCAATACGATCCACTTCATGACAGGGTCAAGCGTGATCCCGAGAATGGAATGCTGCCAAGCATCTTCCAACCCGGACCGCTCATGTCGAATCAGCGCTGCGGTCCGTACGAGGGCAAACCTACATCAACAGGCTACTACCCGACAATGGTTCCCCAGTCTGGAGTCAACCTCACCAACATGACTTGAGCGAGCACTGGGTGAAAACCGGGCTCCACGAGGGTGG